CAGCAGGAGATACCACGTGACACGGGCCTGGAGACACACAGCAGGAGATACCACGTGACACGGTCCTGGAGACACACAGCAGGAGATACCACGTGACACGGTCCTGGAGACACGCAGCAGGAGATACCACGTGACACGGACCTGGAGACACGCAGCAGGAGATTCCACCTGACCACAGTGACAGCAGCAGCCACCAGAAGCGAGGAGGCCACAGAAAGGACTCTGGCTTATATACTTTCAGCCCCAGAATGGAGAGAAAATAAAATTTCTGCCCTTTGAAGCCACTCAGTCTGTGCTGTTTTATTACCATAGCCCTAAGAAGCTAGGCAATGTCTTCCCCAAGACTCTCCTTCTCCTGGAATCATGTCCCCTCTTCTTTCTGTGACAGTTGTCCTTCCGTCCTCTAAGATTCAGGTCAAGTATAACTCTGGGCACACCTTTCTTTTTTCTTTTAATAAATCATTTTATTGGGGGCTCTGCAGCGCTTATAATAATCCATACATCAATTGTATCAAGCACATTTGTACATAAGCTGCCATCAAAATTTCCAAACATTTTCTACTTGAGCCCTTGGTATCAGCTCCTCTTTTAAACCCCTTTCTTCCCCAACCCTCCCACCTTTGTGAACCCTTGATCATTTATAAATAATTGTCATTTTCATATTTTATACCATCTGATGTCTCTTTTCACCTACATTTCTGTTGTTCGTCTCCCGCCCCCCCAAGAGGGGGGTTGTATGTCAATCATTGCGATCTATTCCCCCTTTCTCCCCCTTCCCCCACCTTCCCCCTACCCTCTTGGCATCACTAATCTCATTATTGGTCCTCAGGGGTTTATCTGTCCTGCATTCTGTCTGTCCAGAGCTCTTTTCTCTACCAGTGTACATGCTCTGATCTAGCCAGATTTGTAAGGTAGAACTGGAGTCATGATAGTGGGGTGGGTGTGGGGGGGTATTAAAGAACTAGAAAAATGTTATGTGTTTCATGGGTGTTATAATACTGCACCCTGATTGGCTTGTATCTTCCTTATGGCCCTTCTGTGAGGGGATGTCCAATTGTCTACAGATGGGCTTTGGGTCTCCATTCCGACTGCCCTTATTTGCATCTAACTGGTTGTATGGGGATTTCTGATGCCTGATACTTGGATCCCATCTACATCTCATGATCACACCGGTTGATGTGCTGCTTCCATGTGGGCTTTGTTATTTCCCTGCTAGATGGATGTTTGTTTTACTTCAAGCATTTAAGACCCCAGATGCTATATCTTGCAATAGCCAAGCACCACCAGCTTTCTTCACCACATTTGCTTCTGTACCTATTTTGTCTTCAGTGATCATGTCAGGAAGGTAAGCATCACAGAATGCCAGGTTATTAGAACAAAGTGTTCTTGCATTGAGGGAGTACTTGAGTAGAGGCCAATGTTCGTCTGCTACCTTAATACATAACCTATCAATATATGTACATAGACCTATATCCCTTTCATATATTAATATATATATATATACCTATGTTTATACCTCTATAAATGTCTTTTACCTCCAAGTTCATTCCTCTATTTCCTTTTACTTTGCCCTTGTCCCACTATCATGTTTGACCTTCATTCAGCTCTCTGTACTTCCTCTCGGCTACATTGCACTTGATCGAACCCCACCTGGGTACATCTTTTTGAGGCACCATGCTGACTCAAGACACGCCATTAAAACTCTGGCTTGACTTTTAACTGCTAATGGCTCTGTTTCTTAATTGCCTATTAAGATCCCAAACAGTCTATAAGCGCCTTGAAGGCGCTTAAATTGAGTTCTTGCAACACTAAACTCAGTACACATTAGGCTGGTTGGTTGATTGGTTCATTAGTTGGCTGGGTGGTTGTCAGGCTGGGTTGGTTGTTAGGTTTGTTTGTGTGTTTTTCGGTTGGTTGGTTGGTTGGTTGAGTGGGTGGGTAGGTGGGTTAGTTGGTTTAATGAGAGGACCTATGCCAAGCAGAGGACTGGGATGCGTATGCAGAGGACTGGGAAGTGTATGCAGTGGAGCTAAGTGTCGATGTCACATAAATGGGGATGAGCATCACACAGACGGGAGGGGCCAGCATCCTCCATAAGGTCTGGGCTCTGGCTTCAGTGTTTTACAAAGAGGAGGCCAGACAGGAGGGAGTTGTAGAGACACAATGATCATTCACTTTTTCCAGATTAAGTACTTTCTTCCTTGAAGGAGGGTAAGACTCTGGCTTTCAGAAGCATTCTTTCCAGGTCAAGACCAAGTCATCTATGGCCCCTTGCACAACCTGGTACCATTCCTGCTCACCGGATGGACATATCTTCAGAAATCCTGTCCTACAATAAGAAGACTTAGAAGCTACTTCCTATTGACACCAGGACCTCTTCTTACTCAATGATTTTTACTCCACCGTCTCCTTTCTGATTCTGGACACAGACTGAGTCTTCTTTCTTGAAAGACGGGCACCATGATGAAGTTCACCCTTTTCTTGGCTCTCTTGAACCTGCTAGGTGAGTGCCCATGCATTCCTCTTTCTACCTATGAAAGAGAAATCTTGGGAGAAGTAAGAGGCATTAGTAAAAACAGGGTAAAGTTATAAACTTTAGGTATAGAGCTGACTCTCCTCCTCATCACCACTGTACATAAATATCAGGTTTACTTCTTACACCTGGTCTTGGACCTATCTAAAGAAAGACCAGTGCTTGGGGAAGCATGAACACTGGGGATAGGGGTTGGCAGGAGGATTTCAAAGACATCGACCTCCAAGGCAAGGGCAGAAATGATACCCTACATTCTATGTGTTCGGACAATCTTGGCACTTTCTTCTAGACAGATCCCCAATCCAAATAATGCTCACAGTCCCCAGTGTGTGTCTATTGCCATCAAAACCATTCTGATCTGTAGCTGTTTCAAGATACAGTAGAGCTGCCCCCATGGCTTTTCAAAGATTATGGAAGTAGGCTGCCATCTTTCTCCTCAAAGTGGCTGGTAGGCTCAAACCGCCAGCCTTTCACTTAGCCACCAAATGCTTAACCACCAGGGCTCCTTCCCCAATTTCTTTTGAGGGACTAAGCCACCATCTCTTGCCTGGAAAGTCGGATTGTTTTCTTGACAGGCCTTTCTACTTCTATACTTTACACCAAAAGTTCCCAAAATTATTTGGCCTGCCACACCCTTTCCAGAAAAATAATTACTCATCACGCCCTGCAAATTAAATTTTTATACAATAACCCATCACCCTGGATAAAGTGTAGGCATGTGTGTGTGTGTGTGTGTGTGTGTGTGTGTGTGTGCGTGTGCAGCCCCCTTCTGGATCATTCCAGCACTGTCTGCTAGAGGCAGTCTCGCCTCTTTGGGAGACACTGTTCTATATGCTGTATTCTGTGCTTCTTCTATGTAGGAGCCCTGCTGGCATAGTGGGTTCAAGTTGGGCTGCTAACTGCAAGGTCAGCAGTTCAAAATGGCCAACCATTTTTTAACATTTCACTGACATACAGTTCACGCATCATACCTTTCACTAGTTCAACCACGCTCATAAGAGTTGTGCAATCATTACCACAATCAAATCCAGAACATCTCTGCTTCCCTGGCCTCCTTGTTGCTGCCAGCTCCCCCTTTCCTGTCAGCCTCCCTGGTCCTGTCCCTTTGAATCTGTTGACCCAGTTGTTGCCTCTGTAGATTTGCCTAATCTGGGTTTCATGTACAGAGAACCATCCAAAATCAAGACAGGAAACAAACAAATGGTCAAACAACCAGGGATACCATGAAACACAGAAACACCCCAAGAGATAACAAAGCAGAAAACATTAAACAAACAAACAAACAAACAAACAAACCCTAGAGCTATTATTCATTGGGTTAAGAGGGAGATCAGAGACAAGGTGTCCCATTTTGACCTCATTAAAATTGCAGCTATCCACCCCGCCATGTACTGTCTGGCAACAAGGCCTTTCCCAGGTCTGGGCCATAGTCAGAGGGGATTCACCAGGGGCTTCATCTGCATGGGGACCCTGCACATGGGTTTGGGGCTTTCACTGCCATCTGCAGTTTTAAAAAACCCGGGTATTTTGAATTTAACTTGTAATACAGTTCCTTCCTCTGGGTATAGATTTTTTTCCCCAAAAAACCATTTTATTGGGAGCTAATGCAGATATTATGTCATTCCATCATTCAATCACATCAGATATTGTTGTACAATTGCTACCACAAGTTTTAGAACATTCTCCTTCCTCTTGAACTCCTTGATTCCAGCTCCCCTTTACCCACCAACTCCCCCACTGTAGCCCCCCCCAACCCTTGGAACCCTTATTCTATTTGTTTTCTCTACAGGTTCATCAATCCTGGGTTTCTTATACCAACAAACAGAAAACCCTGGGTTGGGATTTTATTATTGACAATTCTTGGAGCACACATTCCTGTGTGCTTCTTTTGGGTCGACTTAGCCGACACCTCCTTTAGAGGGCTGCTTGTCTTTTCTCAAGACTTATATTGGCATCTCCTTCACATATCATCCAATGAAATCTTTCAATCATATTAAGAAGATTTGTGCAATCATCATCACCATCAAGTTCAGAGAATTTTCTTCTCATACTCATTGCTATTAGCTCCCCATTCCCCTCGCATCCTCCTCTGCCATGCGCCTAGGAAATTATCAATTTACCAATTACTGGTAATCAATTACCAATTACTGTCTCTATAGCACTACTGAGCCTGGATTTCACATATGAACAATCACACAAAATTGTGTGATTATCAATTTACCAATTACTGGTAATCAATTACCAATTACTGTCTCTATAGCACTACCGAGCCTGGATTTCACATATGAACAATCACACAAAACCCAAACAGGAATCAATCAATCAAACAACCAGAAAAAAGACCAACAGCAATAACTACACATCGAGAAATCTCAATAAAAAAGAAAGCAGAAACTATTAAAAATGGAAACAACTTAAAAATGGGTCCAAAGGGATATCAGATGATAAGGGGTGACATTTTAACCTAACGACATTTGCCGTGATCCACTTTGCAATGCTCTCTGTCTGACAGCACGGCGATGCTTCACCCCGCTCACTTTCCCCTCTTCAAAAATCTGCCCAGGTGTGTTTCTCTTCGACACAATCAGAGGGAATTCACCTGAGGCTTAATCCATGAACATGTTGTTCTTATTAGATTGTCTCTTTCTGTACCACTGTCTCATCCTTCTGAAGCCTCAAAGGTCACAGCAGGTACTTTGCTATATTCAGTTAAGTATCGCCAAGATCACCACTCTTCAAAGGTTGTAGAAGAACGACTAGTCATAAAAGAGAGGCAATGCATGGTTGTGGGTAGTCACAGCAGAGGGGTTGGAGAAAAAGGGTTGCTGGGCTCTTGTAGCCAGAGATGGGGCAAAACTGGGCTGAGCCTGGAAGAATCAGAAGAGGTTCACTGGAGGTCAGAAGGAAAAGTTGAGTGGGGTGAAAGAGAGCTTCATGAAAGTTCACTACTTTGATGAAACTCATCCTCAATTTCCTTATTCTTTCTTTTTTTTTTGTAAATACCTGAGACACAATACTTATGTTTTCTAGGTATCTGTACCTGATCAAAAAGGAATGCACAGTTAATTGCTGTCAATTAGTTGTACCTCTGTAGAAAGTTTGAATTCACCAAAGCAAAGCTGTGTGGTCGATATATTTACAATGGCAGCAAGAGCAGTTGCCAACAAGTAGCCGCTGAGGCTATTGATATACAGCCAAGCACCTAATAACATTCGGTTACTTGGTTTGGAGGCTTGGAGTTATGGTTTCATGGGACATCCCAGTCAATTGTTCGAGTAGCACGCTCAATGCTTGTTCTGCCTCCTAGTTCATGCACAGAGCCCAGGGTCTTAAAACTTGCAAGTGGTCATCTACGGCACTGCAATTGGTATCGAATCACCTGGAGCAACACAGAACAATGGATACTTAGGAATAAGAGGAAGATATAAAGTGTGCAGCTACTCCCCTTCACGAACGACTACCTCCTTTGTCATGAGACCAAAGAACTAGATGGTGTCCTGTTACCATCCCTGAACATTTTTATCAGGAATTCTGTAGAGGAGTTCTCATCAAAAGGGAGGTGGGGGTGAAGAACAGAATTTCAAATGATCATAAACTCAAGACTCCTGGAGGCACGAAGGCTGGGTGAACTGCTGTAGCCATTGCTTTGAGATCATCTTGAAACTTTAAGCCAAAAATCCCCCCTTAAGTCTTCTTAAGCCAAACAGTAGCACCGTTTAACTAGTAAAGAACATCAAGGTCTGAAGACCCCTCTATGTGGGATTAAACCAACAGCAGTCCCTGGAGAGGTTTGAATGGCACCTTAAGGGGCAATGGGATACTGTTCACGGGGAAGGAACCACTCAGAAAAGGAAGGTGAGAATGACTAAAGGACTCGAAGAGCAGAGTTACTACATCAGTCTCTGAGTTGCTGCACTTGACAGTGACATAATAAATACATAAATAATTGAAAATAAACAGATGCAATGTCCTCCCTATAAGTAAGTGATGTCTATATATATATATATATAAATCCCATGGAGTGTTATGCCAGACAGCCTGAGGCTTACTGGTAATTCTGTCACCTTCACATTCATGTTTCTCCATTTCAGTTACTTGATGTATAAAATGAAGATAAAACCCAGATTTCCTGCCTCAGAGGGTTGTTGGGAGAAATGGTTGAATTCTCCACGAGCTGACTTAGTACCGTACCCACCGAGTTGGGCAGGGAAGAGGGAAGGCAAGTTTAAGAAGTCTAGGATTGAAGACTGAAAAATCCTTGTTGACAATTAAAAAAGAAAATGCCTTCTATCCCTTCAAGGAGATGGGTTTCTATTATATATTTCTTCTTCTTTGAGAGAAAATTAACCCTGTTTATTATTGAGTTTACAGTTAACATCAATGGAGAGGAGGGGAGGGCAAACCTGGGGCCCAAACACCAAAAAAATGTACTTTTTTTTTTTTAACCACTTTTCTGGGGGCTCTCACAGCTTTTATCACAATCCATACATCCATCCATTGTGTCAAGCACATTTGTAAATATGTTGCCATCTTCATTTTCAAAATATTTTCTTTCTACTTGAGCCCTTGCTATCAGCTCATTCCCCACCCTCCGTCACTCCCCCTCCCTCCTGATCCCTTGATAGTGTTTAGCTCTTCATTAGTTTCTGCTTGGGTGGGGGGGGCGGTGAGAAATTCTCACATTTGCCTGCATCTGCCTCTCTTCCCAGTGGCTTCAGTGTTCAGTCTAGGATACCAGAATGCACAAGTCCCTCCTCCCTACTTGGTCTACCTGAAGTCAGATTACCTGCCCTGTACAGGCGCTCTGATCCATCCACTCTGGGTCATTACATCAGCCCACTGCAACCTTCCGTGAGTCACAGGCTCCCCGCAGCCACCCTACTTTGGGGGGTTCCTAGGTTGGTCCCTGGAGGCGTAGTGGGTTAGGCATTGGGCCCCACAGGGGAAGTTCGACCCTGCCCTACAGGGTCTTTAGGATTTAGAAGCAACTCCAAAGCAGTGAGTTGAGGGGAGGTTGGACACAGAACCTTGTCTGGGACTATGTCCCAGGAGAACAAACTTAGGAAAGCCCTCTGAAGAGGTTTGGCAATCCAGACACAGGTCCAGGGGAGGAGCTGAGAAAGTCCCATAAGGGCGGGAAAGCCATCGGTGTTCAATCCTCTCGTGAACATCCATCCATATTGTTTCAGGAAGCTGAAGGTGGTCTTGGGAGCTACAAACCCAGCAGACCACCGCGAAATCCATCTTCAAGTGACTGACTATGCGAAGATGATCTACCACCCATACTTCACCCTCACTTCCATCGAGAATGACCTCATGTTAATCAAGCTGAGAAGGGAGATTCAACTCAATGCCCATGTGCAGCTGGTCGGCCTGCCTCACCAGGACGTCCCTGAAAGGACCCTATGCACTGTCTCCACCTGGTCTTATAACCTGTGTTTTACCTGTAAGTGCCATCAAGACAGAACCTCCTTCTTTCCTCAGAAGTAAGCATGCTTCGAGGAGTACGGTTGGCATGGGCTACACATTGAGCTGCTAACTGCAAGGTCAGAGGTTCAAATCCACCAGTCACTCCATGAAAGAAAGATGAGGCTGTCTACTTCCATAAAGATGCACAGTCTTGGAAACCTGCAGGGAGAGTTCTACTCTGTCCAAAAGGGCTGCTATAAGTTAGAAGGACTTGATGTCAGTGAGTGTTTTGAGCCCTCTCAGCGTGTGCAATTCTACCCTGTGTGGCTCGCTTGTAGCCTCCTGTGCTTGTCCCTGACCATCACTGAGGGAGAACCCCAGCCTTTCCCTCGTTCTCTTTTTCCCATTTGCTCTCCTACGCAGTAGATACGGGGTTAGTGAAAAGAGAAGGTTAGTATTCCAGTCCCAATTCGTGTGTTAACGCAGGTTCCTTCCATTCGGACCTAACACAAAAATCAGATGCAACATTCAAATCAGATCTGTCCAAACTATTTTAGGCAATAAAGCAGCACAAGGTATTGCAACACTGCAAAATAAGCATCCGTGCACTAAACACAAAAGAAGCACAAATGTAATAATGTGCTCACTCAGCGTTTCCTTATGCCAGACTGTGATAGAGAGAGTTAAAAGTTCAAGGAACATATTTCTGAGAGAACTCTCTGCCATCCAGTCAATTCTGACTCATAGTGACCCCCAGGACAGGAGGCTGCTGCCCCGTGGGTTTCTGCCACCGTAACAACTTTTTACTGGAGTAGAAAGCCTAGTCTCTCCCATGGAGCAGCCTGTGGTTTAGAACTGCTCACTTTGTGATTAGTGGTCTAACGCATAACCGTTAGAGCACTAGGGCTCTTCATTTCAGAAAGAAGCATTCCAAGACTGCCCCTCCACTTAAAAATAAAAACACACTCATTGGCAGTGTTCTCACCATATGGGAAGCTCCTGCTCTAGATATTCGTTTACGGCCGATTTCTTCTAACAGCCATAGTGCAGATTCCATGAAAAACACACTACAACGGTTTTCCGTTTGAGTTTTGTACGTCTGCCTGCTCACCCATCCCAAAGTCTTCACACAAACTCTAATCAACTGCCTAGAGCTATTCATTGAGGTAGCAGTCAGCGCAGGAGTGGGGTTTAGCCCTAAGCAAAATAGCACCACCTCACAGTCACTATGGACCAGGACTACCCTGGCTTTCTCCAAGAGTCAGCTTGTTTGAGTCTGTTTCATCTGCACTGTGTTGTTGCCTCGCTGGGTGGAAAGGGAGTGCATTATAAACAGTGGCCTCCACCATGACCCTTCCAGCACGTGTACTGTGCCCTTACCTGGATCCTGTGGATGCTGTGTCACACAGCCCTTTTTGAATGTGCTTCAGTACATGCCCTCAAGTCTTAGGGTACATTTTCTTGAAAGTATCAACAAGTAGAACTTGTCCTTTAAGCATCAACTGATTTTTTTCTCCTTGGCTGTCAGTAGGCACTGCGTTGCTCTCTCATAGGGACGCCACGTGCAACATCCATCCTGCACCGCCTTCACAATTCTTGTCCCGCACAAGTCGACCCTGCAGCCCCCCTGCCCACCCCTCTGGAGGAGGGTCTTTCTCGTGTTCTGTGCTCTTTTACTTGACCAAGCATGATGTCCTCTTTCAGGCACGGGTCTCTCCAGATAACATGCCCAAACTAAATGAGACAAAGTCTTGCCATCCCTGCCTTTGAGGAGTGTTCTGGCTGTTAGAAATCTCTAAATCCAATCAAGTTTTTAAAAGTCCATCTCAAAGGGCACTTTAATTGTTCAAATTCCCGGAATATTTTAGCCAATTCCTTGGAGGGATGCTTCCTACTGACATAGAACTTTCCTCAGAAGCTGGTGTAACAAGAAATTGTTCATCGAATGACCCTCTGCTCCTGTCTGTCCATCTGGTGCTCTCCGTCCTTCTGGGTCCATCTGAGGACCTTCTACTCCTCTGTGTCCATCTGTCGATCGACTCCACATCATTCATCTGGTGATCTCCTAACTCCTCTCGCTCCTAGCTGCACATTTCTCAACGGCTTGATCTCTTCTCCTCTTCCAGAGGAGAGGAACAATGACAATCAATGTCTCCCTCTTAAGAGAACTCAAGGAGTACTCCTTTGATGTCTCTTTTTCCTGTAGCCAAAGACCCCGACTCAATGCAGAAGGTGAACATCTCAGTGATCCCCAAAACCGAGTGTCAGGAAGCCTACAGGGCCTACCACATCCGAGACAGCATGATGTGCCTGGGCATTGTACCTGGGAGGAGGCAACCTTGCAAGGTAGTAACATCCCAGACCCGAGTGTCCCCTGCGACCTGCCCACCTCCACCCCCATGCCTTTTGTCCTGCAGGAGGATAACCTGGTGCCTTCTTCCCTGCAGGAAGTCACAGCCGCCCCAGCTGTCTGCAATGGGACGCTCCATGGAATCCTGGCCTTGACGGACGGTTGTGTGCTGAGAGCAGATGTCAGCATCTACACCAGAATCTTCAGCTACATGTCCTGGATTAAAGATGTAATACAAAAGAACTGAGCTCAAAGGCAGGAGTTCGGGGTCATGTGACACGCCTGGCCAGAAATCAGTCTAAAAAGATTCCTTGGGTGTCTGGCCTCTGCTACCCAGGGCAGATGACTGAGCTCTGACATGGATGGACCTGCATTAGGATGGTCCCTGGCCCCTTCTTTTGATCTTTAGATAAAGAGGTAAAATTCTGTGTCGCTTAAAGAATCAAAGTGTATGCAGTGGGGATTGTATTCCCTCTGACATATTGGTTATTGAAAGCAACTTGGTGAGAAAACCCTAACCCCGACACCCAACCAGACAGCCAGGGCTGTTGGCGCCTTTCACGGGCCTCAGGGGTGTGAGGAGAGCGCAGGACTGGGCAGTGTTTCCCTCTGTTGTACATGGGGTCGGAACAAACTTGCTGGCACTTACCAGTAGCAGTGGACAGAGGGAGACTGTGGGGGAGTGGCAGAGAAGAGAGGTGAAGGGAGATTGCTTGGGGTTGGAGATCGCCCTGGTGTGTCCTTGCCCAGGTGACTCCCAACACCAGGCAGAGATCGCACCCATTCCTTTGGCAGGATTCTGGGTCGGAACTTGTTCTACCAGTGATTAAGGCAGAAGTGAACCGGGGCTTAGGGCTCAGGGGTTAAACAGACAGGGCACCTAGATGAGGTCTTCTTGCTATATGGTGGTTCGCAATCCGAGCATCTCAAATATTTTTGAGGCATTCAAATAGCTTAGTAGCAAGACCAGGGGAGACTTGCAGGTTGAACAGACACCTGGTTCCATCAGCATCAAAGGCAAAGGCACCAAGCCAGGGCGGGTGGGTGCGGTACTCAAGATGCTGATGCTGCCTATTGTGTGTGCTTGGGCCTCCGCTCCTTCATCTGGGTTGAGGGGGGCAGGGTGGAGACCCCATCGGAGCTCTCAGGGGGGAGTAGCTGTCCACTGGGGAGGCTCCATGAATGCAGCTGGGCAGAGTCAGCAGGCTCAGTGAGGGCTGACTCTTCTCACTGGGAGGGTCAGTGCCATGGGAGCCACGGTGGCTTTTTGTCTCGCTGACTCGGCCACTCAGTGACCAACAGAGAAGAAAAACCAGCATTCCCGTAACACGTACATATTGATTCCGACCAAACGAACTCACGCACTCACGGTGACCTGACAGGGCAGAGTCGGGTCACCTCCGTCCAGCTTTACCGGAGCAGACAACCTCACCTTTCACCTGAGAAGCAACTGGCAGGTTCAAACTGCTGACCTTGTGGTTATAAGCTCAATTGGTAGCCCACTATGCCACCAGGGCTCCCTTATCATGGTTCAGAGGCCCGGGTTTCCAGAAACTTGGGAAACTAATGAGCTGGAAAATCACATTTACAGACACGGTCACTGCCACCTCTCCAACCCAGCGCATTGCAGACAGCAGCAGTGTGGAGACCCAGAGGGGCTGAGTGGCCCCGCAGCCCCTTTCCGGCCCTGGGCTCCCCTAGCAGCCACGGCCTACTGAGTCACGGACAACTAGTGACCTGAGGACAGCATCGGAGTGGGCGGAGCAGTGGTGCTTCCTGGAGAGCCCCCGCCTAAGGCATCCTAAGGGCCTGACTTCTGGCTCAGGGTGTGTGTGTGTGTGTGTGTGTGTGTGTGTGTGTGTGTGCACGCATACCTCCAAGGGTTCCCATCACTAGGGTGCACCCCTCCCTCCAGCAACATCACTCTAAAAGGAAGTATTCTAGAAGGTGCTAGCAAAGTCGTGTGCACTGAATCTGAGGCAAACATGCATGGGCTCAGGACAGAGGCTCCCTGGCCCAGAGAGCTGCTGAGAGACTGACACTGGAGACCAGTCTGGGAGGGTCAATGCCAGGACAGGGCAGAGGAGGCAGGTGAATGCAAGAGACCTAGGAAGATGGGGGCTGGGGGTGGGGGGGCTGCAGTCCTGGCCCCCAGCTGTGGCCACTGCCCCTTCCCTGAGGGAGCCCACAGGTCAAGGGACCCTGGCCAAGCTCAGGTTACAGGGCCGCCATCCTGTTTCCGCCTGCCCTCCCCCATGTAATCCCCAGCAGAGATTGGGATCAGAACATCTCCTGTTGTCCCTCCTGCCCCTCAAGGTCATGCGTCCCTGTCCCCAAGCTCCCCTTACCTGGCCCAGATAAGCCTCTCCCTTCTGGAGTTCCTCCCTGGCTTGCCCAGCACACCCTGCTGCCTCCACTCCCACGCCCACCCCACCCCAAGTGCTCCCAGCAGCAGCAAACAGCCCTGGGGGTCTGGGTCAGGGGAAGTCAGAAGTCAGAGGAGTCTGAGAATCACACCCACAGTTGCTCGCCTCTCACTGCTGCCCTGGGGCTGCCTCTGCACAGACTGGTGCTCCTGCTCCCAGGGTTCTCAGGATAAGGTCTGTCCTGGCCAGGTGTGGCCGGAAGGAGCGCAGCTGGAGGAAGAAATGGGTTAGATTGAGACCAGACCTGGGCATGACTCTTCTCCTCCTCCGGCAAGCTGAGGTGGCAAGCCTGGGGGCTTGGGGACACCTCTTGGGCTCTGTGACCAAAGGGGGAAAAGGCTCATGTGCTGGTCTGGTCAGGCCCTGCGTCCTTGCCGTGGCTCTGCCCCTGACCACAAAGTGGCCTGACGCTGCTCCTTGGTGCTTCCGTTGCCCCCTCTACAAACTAATTGGCCCGAGGACTTTGAGTCACCAAGTCCACCGAGAATTCCTCTCAACTCTCAGGAGCCAACGTGGCCCCTGGCTCTCAAGTGCCCACCATGCCTGCATGTTCCTGGGTGGGGGAGCTGGCTCAGCTGAAAGGCAGCTGGGCAGAGAACCGTGCAGTGCAAAGCACCCCCAGATGAATGCGTGCAGCCCCCTTCTTCCTCATGCCCTCTGCAAGCCCCCACCCTCCCCAGGGGTGTGCGGGGACTGAGAGCTACCCCTGGCTCGGCCCTCAGAAAGCTGATTATGTGTCCTCCACTGGCCACCTCTAGGTGTCCTTCCGGGGATTAGCAGCAAGGGCTCTGGGTGATGGGGATCATGCTCTCCCTGCCTGGCCTGGGCGTCTGGAAGGCTGGGGCCACCTTGCCCTGCTAGGGTGTCTCCAGGGACACAGAGCAGTGCCCTTGAGACCAAGCTTGGGGGACAAATGCCACGTACGAATGGTCTAGAAAGGATACTCCTGGTACAAGGATTCGGAAGGGAGGGAAGGGGAAACTGCAGCCCCTTGACTTGGCGTGGTCCTGTTGGCAGGGTGCTGGCAGGGATTGGGATGGAACCAGCCAACCACAGCTGCCTGTCTGGTGTCCTCTAGACAACCCCTCTCACCTCTAGCATTATGTAAGAGGCACCACCTTGGCCCAGATGATAATCGGCTCAGAATCACCTGGCCCGCCTTCCCAGGGGCCTGAGCCTCACCTAGTAGAGGCACATATAAGTCTGGGGCCTCCAGGTCTACCTGCAGAAGAGTCACCCAGGGCCCTGGGAGCCATGGCCCATGTTTTTCTCATCCGGCTGATCCTGCTCTTGGCCTTGACCTTGGTCACCCACACCAAAGACAGCCGCCTGGGCCCCAGGTCTCGCCTGCGCTATTCCAGGTTCCTAGACCCGTCCAATGTCATGTTCCTGCGCTGGGACTTTGACCATGAGGCCGAGGTCATCACGTTTGAGCTGAAGGTCCGCACAGCTGGTTGGGTGGGCCTGGGCGTGACGAATCGCTACACCAACGTGGGAGGCGATCTGGTGGTCGGCGGGGTCTTGCCCAACGGAAATGTCTACTTCTCGGTGAGTCTGCAGGTGACGTCTCCCCAGGGTTAGGGTCCTGGGCAGAGGAGCACTCTGTGGTCCACGCTCCCCAAACATTTCCAGACATCCTCCCAGGACACCTGCGCAACCACCAATCTCTCCCCTGGTAGAGAGATGGTCCCTCCATGGTAGAACTTCAGCCTAAGTCAGCTTCCATGGGCAAGGCTGCTAAGAGAGCAGAGCCATTGGGCTCTGACAGTCCTGCACCCTATCCTTACTAATAGTCCACTTTCTAGAGGTTGCTTAGGAAGTGCCAAAGCTGTTCAAGACTGTCCTTGTCCTCTCTTCCCTAAGCTGGCCATGTTTCTGGACAGCATGAAGTAGTCTCACAGTAAGAAGAAGAAGAGCTTGTGATTGTGTGGTATCTCTGAGTCACCACACAGTGTTCCAAATCATCGGCATATCCGGGCCCACAGCAGTGTCAGGAGGTGCATTATCAACACCCTGGTTGTACATACAAGAAGCACCTCATTTCTTTCGCAAGGCACCCGTTCTGAGCTCTTCATGACTCTCCTCACCCTCAGGGATGTAGGGAAGTTCCCACCAATGGACTACCCAGTGATTCGTGGGGAGAGTCACCTTAAAAGGTGACCGATCAGAGGACAGAGGCGCTTTTAAGGGAGGGAGTCCTGTGGAAAGTCAGGGTTTACAGAGAGGGGACTTGAAATGGGAGGAGTCAATCCAAGTTGAGTGGTGGGACTCCATCCAACATGGTCTGTGTATCCCTGAGAATCTGCCCTACGCTCGACTCTGTCCCTGAAGGACCCTCTAGGACAAGGAAGACCTGGGGTTCTGCCGCATTAGCACATGGGGGGAGCTGGAGGGACACCTACTGCCACAAAAGCAAGACCTTTGAGGTGCCTAGCGCTTACAGCCTGGCCTTCCTGGATCTTAGGACCAGCACCTGGTAGATGAGTACACCCTGGAGGAGGATGGGAGCCAGGATGCGGAGCTGCAGGGGCTCACGGAAGATGCGGTCTACACCACCATGCGCTACTCAAGGCCCTTCCGCTCCTGCGACCCTCATGACCAGGACATCTCGGTAAAACGGGGGCTGAGGACGGCATGTAAGCACAAGGGGCTTTCTTCTGGGGGTGTGAGATCCCCTGGATCCCGCTCCTCTCTGTCTTCCCCAGCACCGCCCCCAAATGCTATCTCGGAAAGTCCAGGGGTCCTCAACAGGGGCTTCACCCCCGACTCCATATGCACCCCACCCTGCCTCTGGCAGGAGGCATAGGACCAGAGGAGCCTTGTCTGGCTCATCGGACTTGGGGGATGAGACTGTGAGACTTCAGCCCCACCCTTTCCTTTATCACATGTGACCACAGGAATGCAGAGGGGATGGGAGAGGCACTGGGCCTCCTTGCCATCAGGTTGGCCTCAGAGACCAGACCCAAGGTGTCCTGATGTCCCTCTGAGGCCCCTCTACCCCACAGTGTAGAAGTGAGCTGATAGCCTGGTCAGGGGGCCGGGGCCTGGGGGGTGTGCAGCATCTGTTCACAGGTTCATCAGCCCTCACCATCCCAACACCCCAGGTGGACACGGTACGGGTGCTGGCTGCGTACGGCCAGGACGACACGCTGACCCTGTCCCCGGAGCACATCTTTGTCAAGTCCATCTTCCTGCTGCAGATGGTCCACCCCGACGACCTTGAAGTCCCCGAGGACACCCTTATCCATGACCTGGAGATCACTGATGTAGGATGGGGCTCCCCTGTCCCCTCCTAGCACCCCCCGCAGGGCTGCCTCCTCCTCTCCCACCCACACTCGCACATCCCAGTGTTGCCTGGCTTGGGGTGACTCACCATGCTCAGCCCCTGAACACCAGCCCTAAAGTGGGCCCCTTCCCCGGAAGCCCCTCCCCCTGCTCCCGACCCCCACCCCAGTTCCATCTTGCTCCTTCCCAGTTCCTCATTCCGGAAGACGATACCACCTACGCCTGCACCTTCCTCCCTCTGCCCATCGTGAGCAAGAAGCACCACATTCACAAGGTGTGGGCACTGGACGGAGGCCCTGTTAGAGAGGAGGGCGCAGATCAGGGGACACCCCCACCCCCGCTGGGGGGTGGAGCTCAGACAGGGTTGGGGAGGAAGCCGTGGGGGTGAAGCCAGGCAGATAAAGGGGCCTGACTGGTCTGGGGGTGTCCACGGTAAAAAGTTTGGGAGCATTGAATTGGCGTTCGCAGCATATGATGAAGGAATCCTGGTGGTGCGAAAGTTAAGTGCTCAGCTTCTCGCTGAAAAGTCAATGGTTGGAAACCACCCGCTGCACCAAGGGAGAGAAGTGAGGCCGTCTGCATCTGCTTGGAGCAGACAAACAGCAGTCACGTGCTCACCGTGGGGACCCATGCCGGTCTGAGGAGACCTGCGCTCTAGGCTACTTTCCAGCAGCAGGACTCTATTCCGAGGCTCCAGGGTGACAGAGGATCTTGGAAGGAGTGACACCCGTGGGGATAGGGGGGTAGTGGGGAGAAGGGGAAGTCAATTGCTTTAGAAAGAAAAGCCAAACAGCTTTCGTTTCAAGCTGGGAAGTAATGAAGGCAGTATGTGGAAAATGGTTAAACATGCCAGCAGGTAGGGGCTGCTCAGAGACCTGTGAGCTCAGGAGGGCCCTGGAGACAGGGGCTTGTAGAGCAGTCAGAGGCCCTGCCTGGAGTGATGGGTGATGGGCTGTGGGTCGGTGGACGAGACAGGGAAACGGAGAAGAGGCAGTGGTGACCTGGGGTGAGAGAGAGGTGGTCACTGAGGCCCAGACTCAGTGCCTGCCCCTCTACCCAGTTTGAGCCCAAACTCATCTACCACAATGAGACCATGGTGCACCACATTCTGGTGTATGCCTGCGGCAATGCCAGCGCCCTCCCCACCGGCATCAGCGACTGCTATGGGGCCGACCCAGCCTTCTCGCTCTGCTCCCAGGTCATTGTGGGCTGGGCTGTTGGCGGCATGGTGAGTCAGGGGTGCAGGTGCAGGGATGGGGGTCCCTGCTGCAGGCCACTGCCGGATGGCTAGCAGATGGAGGGCAGGTGCTGGCCCCTGCCCTCCCCTGCTGCCATGGCTCCTCTCTGCTTCTAACAGAGCTACCAGTTCCCGGATGACGTGGGGATCTCCATCGGGACCCCCCTGGACCCCCAGTGGATCCGGCTAGAGATTCACTACAGCAATTTCCACAACCTCCAGGGTGAGAAGCCCTGTCCGGGCAGGTGCAGGTGGGTTGGGTGATTGGGAACAGAGTCCGTGTGTTGGCAGGAACCCCCTTTCCGCTGCCCCCCTCCCCACCCAGACATCCTGGGCCTCCCACTACTCCTGAGTCTCCCACCCCTGGTCTTCCCCCCACCCTTGGTCCTTCCCCCACAGCTGATCCTCGCCCCACCCCTGGACCTCCCTTGGCTGTCCTGGACTTAGTCCAGTAGTTACGGGCCTCCCCTGCCGCCAGGGCCCACCCCCACCTTTAGGCATCACCCAATCTCTGGATCTCCCCAGGCTGTCCTGGGCCTCTCCTAGCACCTCCGACCCTCCTCCCGCTCCCCTCCTACCCCTCCCCCCACCACCCTGGTGATAACTCGGTCCCCACCAGGCATCTACGACTCCTCTGGGATCCGTGTGTACTACAGCCCGCGGCTGCGCAAATACGACATGGGTGTGCTGCAGCTGGGCTTCTTCACCTTCCCCATCCACTTCATCCCCCCGGGTGCCGAGTCCTACCTGTCCTATGGGCTGTGCAAGTCGGAGAAGTTCGAGGAGGTGAGGGCAGGGAGAGGCAGCGGCCGGAGCTGGCCTGGTTCCCCTGCTGAGCCCAAGTGCTGAGAATGACCAGGGTCTGGCGCTAGGGGACTTTGAGGAGCAGGGAGAATCCAGGAGTGAGGGTCAGCGCCCTCAGAGGAAGGAGCCTGTACGGGGGGGTGGGGGTGGGTGGGAGATGGGGCGGAGGGTTGGGAGCAGGTGCAGACCTGTGCTCCCTCTGCGTCACAGATCAATGGGGCCCCGGTGCCCGACATCCAAGTGTTTGGCTACCTGCTGCATACCCACCTGGCAGGCCGTGCCCTTCAGGCGGTGCAGTACAGGTAAGGGCCAGCCTTCTGGCTGTGTTAATGAGTGGGCGGGTATCGCCTGCCCTTGTGAGAGTCAGGGGGCTGACTACATCCCAGGACTGCAGGTAGCAGCTGGAGAGGGCCACGGGACAGAGCTGCACGCCAGAATGACCGGCCCACCCCATCTTTATTAGCAGTCACGCTACCATCCTTCTCCTGTCTCCTCCCCTCTGCTCCTGGCAGAAATGGAAAGCAGATCAAGACCATCTGCAAAGATGACTCCTACGACTTCAATCTACAGGAGACTCGGGATTTACCCAAGCGCGTGGTGATCAAGGCGGTGCGAGCTGCACTGTGGAGGCGGGACTGCAGCAGAGGCGTGCCTAAAGCGGGGTGGGGTAGGGTGGGGGCAGTTGAGGCTGAGATGGGGGACGCGTGGCTACTGGGGAGGAAGCATGTCAGAGTTCATTCTTGTTAACAATATCCCGACGTCTTGGATAGCCTGCCTGTCTCACCACAACAGGGAGACGACCTGCTGGTGGAGTGTCACTACCAGACGCTGGACCGAGACACCTTGACCTTTGTAAGTGACCTCCTCCCCATGGTGGTCACCATGACATCATCCCTAGTAGAAGCCCCAAGTCCGGTGGTATATCTAAGGGGCCTGGACCACCAAGATGAAGCCCTTCTGATCCTCCAAAGGCCCTATCTTTTCCTATGGGGTTCCCGGTGCCCTCTCACCCCTGGGCATCTAGGGTAGGCACAGGGAGTCCGCCCACACCTCCTCTGTCAATGGCTCATGGAACCATAGGAGACAGGGTGTTCTAGAAATGAAGCATGAACCTGGACCTCACAGCCTAGGCATGAATGTCAACCCAACTGTTAGGTCCCTTTCTACCTCATTGTGGCTGTTTCCTTGCTCATGAAAAGAATTGCTCATTGTCCGTGCAAAGCCTACAGGCCCCAGTCTGACCTGTGGCAGGCACACCAGAGCATTAGTTGCGGTTCTCCAGGAGCCCCCCCCCATTCTGTGCTCTGGGAGTGGTTGATGAAGTTCCAAAGAGCATGTGGAGGGAGGCAAGACTGCAGGGCAGACGATCATTCCAAAGTTCGGAAGCGATGCAGCCCTGGATGAAGAAAGGAAGTCAGAGTCGTGGGAGAACTCCCAGGGTCCTACCACAGGGTCTTGAGTCTGCGTCCCATTTCAGTGGGTCCTGCTTTAGACATGTGGAGCTGGGGACTCCAGACGAGGAGAGAACTAGGGTGGCAGAAGATGTTGGGGGCGAACTGCATCTCTGTGGGGTGTTAAGGGATGGGAAACACGTCAGAAGGAGGGCAAGGAGGGGGACGGGGCAGGGAGGAGTTGGATGAAGCAGAGGGGGTCTTGTGACTTCTATAGCTCCCGGACTTAACCCCTGCCATTGAGCTGGTTCAACGCATAGCGGCTCTACAGAGGAGCACGGAGCCCCTTCTGAGGATTTCTGGGACTAAACCTCGGTGGGAACAGACAGCTTCGCCTTCCTTCCACGAATGAGCTAATTAGTTTGGGCCACTGGCCTTGAAGTTAGCCCACTGGGGTTTAACGAACCGCACCATTGGTGTGTAACTCTGTTGCTCTAAAATATTTTCCATGGCAAATGAATGAATGGCTGGGGACTTATTAGACCAGCGATTCTGAACCTGCGGGTCAAGACCCCTGTGGGGATCGAACAACCCTTTCACAGGGGTCGCCCGATCATGACGGTAGAAAAATTACAGTTATGGAGTAGCAACAAAAGTAATTGTACGATTGGGGGTTCACCACAACATGAGAAATTGCCTTAAAAGGGTTGTGGCATTAGGAAGGTGGAGAGCCCCTATTTTAGACAAATGGACCAAACCAAAACCAAACTCACTGCCGTTGATGCGATGCTGACTCGTGGCCACCCTATAGGAGAGGGTAGGAGGCCCCTGTGAGTTTGGGGACTGTCACTCTTTACGGAAGTAGAAAGCGCCATCTTTCTCTCAGACAGTGGTTCAGAACTGCTGACTGTGAGGATCGCAATCCAACCTGTAACACATGACCACTATGCCACAAGGGCTCCCAGTGCATACACACATATGTGTGCATGTATGTATAGAGTTGCAAAAACTATGACTCAATGGCTGTTGGGTACGGGGGCGAGGGGGGTGGGTTCTAGTTTGGCAGAAGACGGGACCCAAATTGCATGGTAAGCAAAGCAGTCTGGCAGCTCTGGGGAACTCAGAGGGCAATCGAGAGGAGCTGGTGGCCGGTGTCCGTGGAGCCAGAGGCGTGGCAATGGCCATGCAGAGGACAAGGCAGGTCTTGCGTGCCTGCGGCACCAAGAGACCATCAAGGAGCTGCATGGTGGACAGGTCTGCCACACCTGCATCCTGCCTGCCCACTCTCCCTGCACCATCTCTGTCAGTAAGTCTATCCTTTCCATCCCCCAGGGGGGTCCCAGCACCATCAATGAGATGTGCCTCATCTTCCTCTTCTACTATCCCCGGAACAACATCTCCAGCTGCATGGGGTACCCCGACATCATCTCCGTGGCCCATGAGATGGGGGAGGAAGCATCTGAGTGCGTCAGCTGGAGACACGGTTCTTTGGGCATGCAAGCGGGGGCCTGGGGTGGATCGGGGAGGAGGAAGAAGAGAACTTCCCATGGTCCCATGGTCCCCCCACCCCCAGTTCCCCCAAGGGCTGCTGGATGCATCCATCCTCGTCACCCCACCCCACGCACTCTGTCTCTGCTGACCCAGGCGGGTTCTCCGAGTCAGAGGGGGAACTCAGAGAAGCAGATAAGCACTGGCCCGTCAGAAGCCAGATCATCTAGTGCCCTTGACACTATTTGCCTCTCTCGTGCGCTGATTCCCCCTGAGCAGTGGTTCTTGGGCACAGAGTTGAGGGTCTTCTCCCAGAACCTGCTTCCTAAACTACATGCTCATGGGAGCAGAGCCATCTCGTCTCACACACAATTCCAGTGCACTGAAAGTTCCCAAAGCCAACCACCAGCCCACCGGGCCCCCAGTGCCCCCAGATTTGGTCAGAAGACCCTCTGCTTCACGATTGTTTCATTCCCTCCCTGTCCCACTCACTGCACTTGTTGCGGGACATCATGAGGCTTGCCTTGTGGCATTTGCCGACCCGGAGGCGATGCTAACAAAATCAAGGGTGGTTTGTCCTATGGAGGTGAGTGGACCCCAAACCATGGTCTATCCTTCCCCTACCCTTCATTCCCCTCTGCCCTGGGCAGCCCCATGGAGGGCATGATGGCGATGAACAACATTGAGTGGACCCCGGAGAACATTAAGAAGGCCGAGAAAGCCTGCAAGGAGGCCCAGCAGATTGTGGTCATCAAGACCATCGATGTGAGTGTCCCCGGACCGCCGCTCATGGTGGGGACGGGCAGTCTGGGACACGAGAGGTGAGGGGTGAAGGACAGAGGTGGGGAGGGGGGACTCTGAAGACTCCCAGGACGTCCTTGCTGCCCTGGGTTCTGGGTGTGGCTTGGCGGTCTCCTGTCTCAGGAAAGGAATGGGGGTGAGGGGAGCGCACTGCTACTCTCACCCATGTCTTTGCCCTGGCAGGAGGTGGTAGAGAACACCACAGGCCAGATCCCCGACATCGTGCCCACTCCGCGGGGTCCCTGCCTGGAGTCCACTGGAGGCAAGGTGGAGGCGCAGGATAAGACCCCTGCGGGCTTCAGGGCCGCCCCCCTGACCCTCTCTAGCGCCAGCACTGCCTCCTCCGGGGGCTTCTCCCTGGCCACCCTCCTGTTTGCACAGGGAGCTCTCTCGTGGCTCTTTGCCAGCCTGCAGGCTAGAGACTGACCCTGGTCCCCTTTCACACACCGGGCTTCCCTCCCCAGCCCTCCCCCCGGGGCAGACACAGACCCTCGCCCTGTAATGCCCCTGCCCTTTGGCCCAGCTGGCTTCAGCGACCCTACTACCACTCCAAGAGACCCCGGAGCTTGCCATTCCCTTCTCCCCTTGGTCCCAGTGGACCCTCACATTAAATGCGGAGCGTAAACGAGGACTCACTCTCTGTGCTTCTGGGCATAGCAAGAGGGACCACGGGCTGATGACTGCCGCAACGCCTTCCCGGTGTGACGAGAAAATGAGTGCAGAGACCCGGTGCGATAAGAACAGGGCTACCTTAGTGGGGGGAGAAGAGAGGGTCTCAGCCCAAGGAAGGGGCAATGGCCCAGGAATCTGACATGAGAAAATGCTCCCCGTTTTAGGACTGAGACATTCTGCTGGGCACTGGGAAAGACGTGGCAGGTGTCAGGGTGAACCTGGGCCCTCGGGGTGCCCAGCACATGGGGGTGGGGGTGGCAGGTGTGGACTCTGATCCACAGAAGTGAGGGGGAGAATTGTGAGAACAGAGGGCGACCAGAGACAAATGGAGTAAAAGAGGTTCACCTTCACCCCTTTCAGGGTCAAAGTGAAAGGAAGAGGGATGGTTGGGGAAAGACAATTTAGGAGGCGGGGCTTCTCCCAGTGCCATCCCTTCCAAACTCTCTGTGCTTCAGCTCAGCAAGGGCACCAGACGACTTCTACTGGCTGGAGCCACGGGAAGCACGCACGACAAGCACCCAGGCCTCTGGGCTGTTCAGACTCAAGTGTGTCTGAGGGCTGTGGCGGTTCTGGTTCCAGACCACTGCAAGGAATCTAATGCCACACACAACTCGTTTGGTCCCACGTGCCTATGAAAGTTCTGTTCACCGTACACTGTGTGGAGCCCTGGTGGTGCAGTGGGAATGTGTTGGGCGCCGACCCTCATGGTTGGCAGTTGGAAACCACCGGCAGCTCCTCAGGAGAAAGACTGGGCTTTCTATGTGCCGGAGACAGTTACTGTTCCAGAAACCCATAAGGGGTCGCTATGAGTCAGCATTGACCAATGGCGGTGAGCTTGTTAGGGGCTTTTGGTAATCTGAGCAATAAACCAACGATCAAACATTCGTTGACATTCAGTTGATTTTGACTCCTTGCAACTCCACAGGGTTGCTCCCTAGGGTCTCCAGGACTGTAAATCCTTTCAGGAGCCTCATCTTGCTCCCATGAAGTCACTGGTGGGTTCGAACTGCTGACCTGGTGGATAGAAACCCAAGCTGTAGCCAGGTCCCCAGGGCATGGGGAGGATGGTGTGAATGGCATGACTGCTCACAGAGACATGGAGTGGGCCCGGGCTGTTGGGACAATGGTCCCGATAGACTGGCTGAACTCAGGCTGCCACAGCCCTTCAATCCGTGAACCATTGGATTGAGAAAGGGAGGGGAGCACAGTGTGGGTACACCTTCCACCAGACACGCCCCCTCGTCTCCTCCCCACCAGCCCCACAGACAGTCCCCCAAAGTGGGGAGCAGAGGGCCTCGTGGCACCATGGTCAGTAGATAGAGGAGGTGGGCTGCGACGCGATCCAATAAGCCTGGAAAGAAATCAAAAGCAAGTGGACATAGGCGGGGAGGGAGGCATGGAGACCAATGAAGGAGGTGGCAGGACCAGGTGAGCCCCAGCTCCACCTCCTGTCTCAGAAAATGTTCCGTGAGCCAATGGCAGGTGTAGTCTGGGATGGTGAAAGGAGAGTCAGGTTCGACCTGGATGACTGGGCACCCAAAACCCTCCAGCACCCATGTTCACTTCCACCTGACAGCTCCTCTCCAGGGCCGATGAAGGTCCACCTGGCACAGGAAGAAGTGCTGGCCATGGCCCTCTTGCAACCCCTCATCACCCTGGGGGGTAGGTTCCTTTCGCTGCTCAGTGACAATATCTCAAACCATGATCCTACTTCACTTCATGAGCTGAGAGAGAGTGGGAGAGCCCCTCACTATCATAAGCCCAGGGGCCCTGAACCTACCAGACTGGGAATCAGCATTCCGAGGGAGAGCAGGCAGACATCGCTGGACCATGAAACTCTCCAAGGGGTCCGTTCCAAACCCAAGATGGGGAACCACTGAACAAGAAGAGCAGTGCCTCTTGCCCATCTGCTTCCTTCCCCAGGGCAGAGGTCACATGCAGGCACGGAGCTGTCAGGGAGGATGAGGGTGGAGAAGGGGCCTGGATCTCCCCCCTTGGCACACCGCACTCAGCCACACTCACTCACTGCTCAGCACTCGTTTCTGATCCTCTGCCTCTCTGTGGTGTGTGCGCACACAGCCATCAAGCTGTCCCCGACTCACAAAGGCCCCTGGGTTACCAGATAGAGCTGCTTCACAGGAGTTCCTTCCCCTTTGTCCTAGCTCTCCAGGCCTTTCTTACGTGGAGGTTTGGGGTGGTTCAGACAGCCAACATGGCGGTCACCAGTCTAATGAAAACCATTTGACACATCCCTCGCAGGCATCTTCTTGCTTCTGCTAGACATCAAATACCGGGGTACCTCAATTCCCTGACCTCACTCCCCCCTCACCCCAATGTGTGTGCAATTATGTGTATCTTCTTCCAAATGTGATCTACATGATGACCATTCTAAATGTACCTGTCGCCAGAACGCTCACCCAACACCATCTCATCTATGCATTCAATTCTCCGTCTGATGTTCCCTCTTAGATGTCTAAACGACCCACCAGGGACCAGGTGCAGGTCTCACAGAATGTCCCCCAAGGTCGACCATGCCTCTGATGATGTTACCCTCAGATTCTCTGAACCTGGTTTCAGACCACACTTTCAATATCAATTAAGAGTTTCAATTAGCAATTTCTGCAAATATCAAACCAAAGCCCAGTGTGCTTAAGACAGTACCTGTTGCCTTTTCCCAATCCTGTACCTTTGATAGGATCCCTGGTGGCACAATGGTTATGAATTGGGCAGCTAACCACAGGGTCAGCAGTTCGAAACCCACCACCATCTCTGAGGGAGAACGATGGGGCTTTCTACTCCCATAAAGACTTACGGTCTTGGAAATTCACAGGGCAATTCTACCCTATCCTATAAGGTTGCTATGAGTTGGCATTGACTCGATGGTAATGAACTATTGTTTTGTGTTTTGAGTACCTTCAATTATGGTCCGTTTTTGTGAATAAAGGGGTTGAAATTCGGTAGCTACAGAATGGTGGTGATTTGAGCAAGTGCATCCTATTTTCCAAAACTCCAGTGGAGCCTTTGGTCCCCTCATCTGCCCTTGTGTGGTGGACTGATGCATCATGGGAGTTAGGCTACAGAACACTTGGTCTTATTGCAGTGTGAGGTGGCACCAGGCCAAGGACACCGAGGGTCCCTCCAGAAAGACACCAGTGAGGGTATCTATGACCACGTCCTTTGGTACAGTTCAGGATTATGGATTTTGTTTCTTGGCGTCAGAAGGTCTGTTTAAGAGCCACATATACTCTGGCCTAAGGGCTATCGACTTGGTTCAGCTTGCTCTATGGGCTGATTTCAACAGGCAGGTGCAACCAGCTGTTGATGCTGTGCGTTCTGAGGACAACCATCCACAGTGGCAGGCGAGAGGCTGTCGGAGGTGCGGGCAGCAGGTGGTAGACACTCGTGCAGATTTGGCTACTTAAACCACAGAAGCTGAGGGGACTACTTTCTGCAGAGTCCACTGTCCACTCAATCAGGGCTGAAACATGGCACCAGGACCCTACTGTCCTGGGGCACAAATGGTTTATCTCAGCCACTCACTAAAAGGTTGGTAGTTCAACCCCCCCAAGTGACACCATGGAGCAAAAGTCTAGGGATGTGCTTCTGTGAAAATGGCAGTCAAGTAAACCCCAGGGAGCTCCACTCTCCTTGGGACACACGATCTGAATCAGAATCGAATCAACGGCTACAGACTCGATTTTTGTTTTGGGGGGAGAGCTTCTCTAGCTTTGGTCTCGGGATCTCGTTACACTTGAAGTGCTGAGTTTATGTGGCTCATCTCTTTTGATAAGAGCCCTGGTGGTTGTTGTGGGAGAAGCGCTGGGCTGCTAACCACAAGGCCAGTGGTTCAAACCCACCAGTTTCTCCAAGGGAGAAAGATGAGGCTATCTGGTCCCTTGAAGACTGACAGCCTGGGAAACCCTCTCTAGGGTCGTTGTGAGCCAGAATCAACAGAATGGCACTAGGTACAGTATCCAAAATGAGAATGGAATCATTCATAATACTTATTTATTAATTCAATAAAAATAACAATAAAACCACTCTAGGTTAACATAAATAATATATTTTTATGAAAAGGAACCGTTTTTAAACAAATCAGTGAGAAGAAGGGCATCGTGTGATAGACTCGCATGGTTTCGCATTTTGTAAATCTGTTTGATGCTTGAACTAGACAGCTGCATTCTGGTGTCTGTTTCTGTTTTCCTCTCTTGTGGCGATTCCCGTCATGGAGCTGCACGAAATGCTCAGGAAAGAGGAGCGCGAGAAAAGCCAAGAACCACCTAGCAGCCTCGTGACATCAAAAAGGGAGCGGAGTCACAAGGTGGCTGCAACCAGGAGCTCCAACACACCACTGGTGGTGAGGACGGTGCAGGTCCAGGCAACATCTCCTCCCACTGTCCATGTGGTCACCGGGAATCCAGGCGGACACCATGGCAACAGTCAAGGTCCATCATCATGGTAGGCTTGACCTTGTGTACCCTAAAAACAGTGTGGGGGCCCCACAGGTCTCCATGCTGTACTCTGAGACAGATATTTTCCTAGGAGGAAATTCCAGTAGCAGCCAGCTGGCTAGCTTGGATTGTGGCAGAGAGCCTATTCATGGGATGTAGAGGAGATAAGACACAGGTCCAGGTGA